GAAGACCTGCCAGCACCACAATCCTGGACCAACCAGAACCCACAACAGTGAGAATAAATTTCTGCTGTATATAAGGCGCCAGTCTGATGTATGTTGTTACAGCAGTCCAAAGGGACTAAGACAGTGTCATATAACCACTATGCATAGTATATGTAACTGATTCATTATGTAACCCTGATGCTGGGAAAGACTGGGCAGGAGGAGAAGGGGGAAATGGAGGATGAGACGGCTGGATGGCATCACTGACTCAATGGACACGAGTTTGAGCAAACTCCAGGAGATGGTGAAGGACAGGGAAGCCTGGCATGCTGCAATCCATGATGTCCCAAAGAGTCAGACATGAATTAGCAACTGAACAACAATTATGTAACAACAGCCAATAAGAAGAGGGCTCGCTTACAAAAGCTAAGGACAAAGTACAACACACCCAGGAATAACCTTCAAGCCCCCATTTTCCAAACACGGTAGGTGGCATGTGAAAGAAGCCTGCCATGTGACGGACCACACACAGCAAGTGACAGGCACAGAGAAGATGTAAGCCCGCCAACCTCCTACACACACAACCTTCCAAATGCCACCTGTCAACCTCCTACTCATGCCATCTTCCCAAAGCCACCTGCCTGTGTGCTCATTCATTCAGGCTGCCCTATGCTCCAACCTGCCAGCAAACAACCCAAAGGGACTTAATCTATAAGGAGGATTTCCTTGGCTGTGTCAGGGACAGAAATGATTATTCGCTAATGGCTTGATGAAGTAAACAGCTGTGGATCCTGTCCCCCACCCCGTCCCCCACGCACCCCGGAAGGCTAGGCCTTTCTCCCGCAGAGTTCCTGCTCGCTGCTGCCCTACCGGCTTCTCCCCTTTTCCACTGAGGGATCCACGACCGCCTGCTGCCAGGTCAACACACACATCTTCTGATTAGTAGAAGACAAAGAGGGGCCATCCAAGCACACGGGAGCCTCACCGGCCAGTAAGCACTCTCCCCTTCTCAGACCCTAACCAACCCCAACACCTTCAGGCCCCGGAGGTTCTCCGGGGTTCAGTTTCACCTCCAAAATTGCTCTAAGTTCTTGATATCCCCCAAGAAAGAGCCGTGTAGTTCCCAGCATCAGCATTTTTCACTTAACCACCTGTTCCAAGGAAACTGCAGGAATCCAGGCTGAAATGAGACTCTCCTGCAAGCCCCTCTCCTACAAGCCTGTGGGAACCATGAGTGAAGACACACAACCTCCCCGCTACTCCTGGCTTATGTAGTGGTGTGGGGACTCCAGCTGCCCTGCGAGGCCCTCAGCCATACCTGATCCCAAACCAACACACCACCCAAGGCGCAAGAGGAACACAACCTCACATCACCAAAGAGGAGGGTCCCAGGGCAGGTCTGAGAAACCACCGCAACAGAATTAGAGGGGTGGGTGCTATTGCGGGGAAGCCCTGGCCATGAGCCTGCCTACAGCACCAGGCCCCCCTCATAAGCACCAGCAGTTCCAGAAGCCAAACTAAAGTTTGGTCAAAGGGAGTGTCTTTGTGGATGGATGTTTGGATGGGTGGATGGACAGGTACATGGGTGGGTGACAGGTGGGTAAGTGGATGGATGGGTGGTTGGGTGATGGGTAGGTAGTTGGATGGATGAATGGGTGGGTGGGTGGATGGACGGGTGGGTAGATGGATGGATGGGTGGGTGAGTGGATGGATGGGTGGGTGAGTGGATGGATGGGTGGTTGGGTGATGGATGGGTAGTTGGATGGATGAATGGGTGGGTGGGTGGATGGATGGATGGATGGATGGGTGGGTGAGTGGATGGATGGGTGGGTGGATGGACGGGTGGGTGGGTGATAGGTGGGAGGCTGCATGGATGAATAGGTGGGTGGGTGAATAGATGAATGGGTAGATGGATGGATGGGTGGGTGGGTGGGTGGGTGGTTAGGTAGGCAGGTAAATGGGGTGGGTGTGTGGATGGACAAATAAGTGGGTGGAAGGGGTATGAGGGTTGGTGGGAAGGGGTCAAGATGGTAAGATCTGAGGAATCTTAATTCAGATATGAAGTAGAAATACCTCAGAGAAAAGGAAAACCCTCCACCCATTTCAACAACCCCCTCTCAAACATTCCTGTGGTGGACATTACAGTCTTCAATTTATCCATAAAACTGCTAATGGGAACAAGTCAGCAATTCATCCCAGCCCTTCCCAGCCTGCACTTGTTTCCGGCAGGATATTTTCCAGGCCTGAGTTTGCTCCCTGTTTAGAATTCATATTAAAGACAGAGTGTAAGGAGTTTACAGGAAGGTCTCCTATGGAGCTGATGCTATGTGTTGCTATTAACTTTATTAATGAAGCAGCTTTTGGTAGTTCATTTTTTTCTCCCTTTCCCCTCTGCAGCCGTCTCTCTGAGATGTGGAAGAGCTTTAACCCACTTTCCTTCCTTACCGCCTCCGTCTCAGCTTCTCTCTGCCTCCGGCTCACACTGAGATCCAAAAAAGTCCGTGTGTGTGTGTGTTCACAAGGCAGAGCTGGTTCTCCAGGTTACCACCTGATTCCTGATAATACCACTCAGCCCTGGTATTAGCAGTCTGCATTTTCTCGGCAGCTCAGCTACAATATTGGCCAGATTTTTTTTTTTTTTGTCTTTTCATAAGACTTCAGATGTTGAAATAAGAAAAAGCATTTTTGAAAGTTAACATTTGAACATAATTAGGAAACAAGGGAGATTCAGGGTTTGTAGAGCCATACATTTATATGACGTAAGGGAGGTGAGAGGCAGAGAGTGTCTTCCTTATTTTAAAAAATGTTTTTAAAAATCCACAGTTACAATGCAAACTTCTATGGCCATGGGAGCACATTGCCAGTGTCCCTCCAGGGGGCTTGGATGGAGCCAGAGTAAGGGACCCTGAAGCTTAACATTCATTAGTATCCCAGTCAAGGCGCCTCTGCTGGGAGACACAAAAGGCTAGAGAGGTTAATACTGCAGCATTAAAATCTCCAGAAAACTGCTAAGCACAACTGTCGTCTCTTACATTGGTCCTCTGGACGCTATTTTTATCTCTCTTTCACAAACCTCCATGCCTGCTGTTCCCTCTAATTTGGCAGCAGCGATTCATTATGACAGCGCCTGTGCTGGGCTGGGCTTGTACATCCTTCGCCTGTATGGGCTTCTCCGATCCAGCACTGTGTCAATTATGTAATAGCCAAACAGGGAGTTTCACAGAATACGAAAAAGCATAGTCGCAGCTCTTACATAAGCCTTCATAAACCAGCCATAAGATCCACCCCTAGACTGCGATATTGGGAATTACATAAGGTAGAAAGAAAACACTGATTCAGCAGTGAGGTTTATTTCCAATCTTAAAGACAATAAAAGCTTTTTTGCACTTTTTCGGCTAGTCTGTATTCACTTAATGAGTGTTGAATGTGATAGAGAGAATGATCTTTTAATAAGACTTGATTGTCTTTCCATGTAAACAGAAAGGAGTATCTTGACACCACGACTCAACGTCACTGTCACTTCTGCACAGAGAAATATCCCACTCCCCAACTTAGTCAACAGGGGACCACGTGTCCCGATAAACATCAACTACCAGGGTACTTCCCTGGTGGTTCAGCAGTAAAGAACCCAGCTGCCAACGCAGGAGACGCAGGTTGGATCCCTGAGTCAGGAAGATCCCCTGGAGGAGGAAATGGCAACCCACTCCAGTATTCTTGCCTGGGAAATCCCATGGACAGAGGAGCCTAGTGGGCTACAGTCCATGAGGTCGCACAGAGTCGGACATGGTTTAGCAACTAAACAACAATATCAACTCCTTGTGGATTTTTTAAAAATCAAGAAGATATTTTGGCAAAATACAGAAGTGAACATGCTATTATTCTTCAACATATCTCCTTTCCTGTACCATTTTTCTCTCCCCATATTTCTAACCACTTATTTTTTACTTTCTTTAAACTAGTGTAGCCACACTTTGGGCTACAAAGTGACAAATTAGAAGAAATGGTGCTATCCTATGGGTCTCACCTCAGCTACAGGTTAGAATCACTAGGGAGTTTAACAATCCAAATATCACAGCATTACCAAAACCCAATTAGAATATAACACTGAGATGGGGGTCACAAAAGGAGGTGCCCAGACATCAGTATACTTGATATTCCTACTACTGTCTTCTTCCCTGAAAAAAAGAAAAATCCATAAACACAAGTAGAGATATTAAAGGTTATTTAAATCTTTAATAACTGGCAGCTCATAATTACTAAGTTTCCATCAGCTATAAAAAATAAAATAAGTCACTGTGTTAAAAACCACAAAGAATATCTGTGGGATCTTTTTTATTACTATCAATAGGTAGTTAAAGAATTTTCACCAAGTCTCTTAAGAGCCTTTACAAAACCTATTCTATTTTTTTAAGGTTTTATAATTTTACCTAATAAGTTCAAAGAAAGGGCTCTATGTTATCTTTAAGGCTATCTCCAGCTAAGACCACGCTCATCTTCCAGGAAAGTTCTGGTTTAAAGCCGAAATTGTGGCTCTGAGTTCTCTTCATCCTCTTTTCAGAGATGCTCTGGTAATTCCTTTTATAACTTTACCAATGAGCAAATATTTTTTTAAAAAGCACTTATATAACAGAGAGTACAGGCGCCTTTGGTATCCTGCCAAGAGTACTTCTTTCCGTGTTTGTATTTAAAATAGAATGGTAGTAACATCACTTGTGCGCCTGAAATTCCTTCTGTGCACAGGCTCAGAATGAAAAAAAAAAAAAATGGATGTAGCAAACCGCTTTGCTGCTTTACCATTACACAGCTCAAAGGAAATAACACATTCATACTAAATTAAGACGAAGACGCAGAACAAATTATCCAAAGCTGGGGGTGTTGTTGGCGGGAGGGGGGGGGCGGGATGGAGAGGTAGGGATTCGGTTGAACCAACCTACCAGCCCTTCGAAAACAGAGGATGTTTAACCTGACAGCACGCGAAGGTGCCGGAGGAGCTGCAAAAAAAACCTCAGCCGGAGCAGGTGATGCAGGCAGGAGAGAACAAGCGCTCGGATGGCAGAAAAGCCCAAATCAACCCCGCGCCGCCCAGCGCCCCCGCGGCGGGCGCTCCCCGGCTCCGCTCAGGGTCCGAGAGCGCCGGCCCTGGGGCCCCGCCAGACCCGGCCGGACGGGGCAGAGGAGGTTCCGCTCACCTGGGTGGGAAAGAGCCTCGGGAGGTGCCCAGGAAGCCACGCTGCCCTGATGGAGAGGCTCATTGCGGACCGGCTTCCCGCACGCCTCCTCCGCCTCCAGCTCGAGTTTTCCTCTTTGGCGACAGGTCTGCACCCGGCCAAGCGGCCGCGCAGGTCCGCAGACGGGGGTGGGGAGGCCACAAACTTGCGGGGAGAAGCCGGCGGTGGCGCGGGCGGAGGAGGCAGGGGCGCCCCCCGCGCGCGGTCCCCGCCGCCGCCCGCCCACGCCCGCTCGCGCCCCGCTCTCACCCCGCGCCGGCACCGCCCAGGCTCGGAGCGCGGGGGAGGTGGGGAGCGCGGACCCGGAGGCTGAAGCCCCCCCACGGATGCAGCGGCCGCCCCTCCGGCCGCCTTGCCCGGACAAAGAGAAGCGGCGGGGCGGGGTGGGGTGGGGGCGGCGAAGCGCGGGCCTCGGAGCGCGCCGCGCACCCCGCGCGCCTGGCCGGAGAGGTGCTGGCGGCGAGGACCGCGCGGCCGGGCGGGCGGGCGGGCGAAGAGGCGCGCTCCCCGTCCGGGCCTCCCCGAGACGCACACGCCGGGACCCGCGCCCCGCAGCCCCGCAGCCCCGCCGGGGAGGCCGCAGCGCCCTCTGCCGGCCCCGGGGCCGCCGTGCGCGCGCCGTCCCGCTCCGGCTCCGCGCCGCCTCGGCCCCCCGACGTCCCGGCGCCCCCGGGGGCAGGGGGCTCCGAGGAGTGGGGTCTGCTCTTCTCCCCTGAGGACAACTTCCAGTATGAGCTTCAGCAGGAATTGGGGCCCAGCACCAGGAACGTGGAGGGCACTGGGACTCCTGATGCAGGAGGGGCCCCAAGTTGACCTTTGGAACGGTTTGCGGAGGCGTTTCTTTCGAGAATCGGGTTTATCTGTGTCTAATAACACCAAGTGCGGCTAACAGTGGTAGAGGGGTGCTAGAGAGCCTCTCAGGAATAAATACGTTAATTTATTTCTCTAAGAAGTGCTCCCAGCTTTCCTAAGCAGCGCGCGTGGCAGGCTTCAAGAGGAGAGCCAGGTCAGAGGACTTCCGCTGCCTTGGGTTCAAATGTCAGTGGGATAAGCATTTGCCCTTATAAAAATGAAATGTGGGTGCTGGCCCCCGCCCTAATTAGAGGTGTTTTCTTGGTGGTTCAGTTGGTAACGAATCTGCCTGCCATGGGGGAGATCTGGGTTCGATTCCTGGGTCAAGAAGATCCCCTGGAGAACAGAATGATCACCCACTTCAGTATTTTTGCCTGGAGAATTCCATGGATGGAGGACCCTGGCAGGCTACAGTCCATGAGACCACAAAGAATTGGACAGGACTGAGCGACTAACACTTTCACTTTCAACTTTTTAGGGGTCTTTGTCCTAACTACCACATTAAGCAGTATTTTACACTAGTTAATATTTGAAGCACCGCTGGACTACTTAGTGAAGGGAAATCAGGAAATGGTACAGTACCTTTTTTCACACTGCTGTCTTTTAAAATTATTCTAACAGATCTCCTGTCTCCTCGGGAAGAATCTAGGGCAGACTTCATAGTTTTTCCTGTCACTTTCAGCTGTTAATAAACAGCCTGATTCTCTGATATTAAAAAAATCCAGTACAATCCAAGTCAAAACTGTGGTCTCACTGCACCTGAGCCTGCCTGCCTCCCGCCTCTCCTGCCAGCCTCTAGCTCCTAGTGGGCCCAAAGCTCACAAGCCTGCCTGGGGAAGGGAAAGGCTGTTTTCTTTTTTGTTCTACCTCTTCCCCTGGCTTCGTGCAGACTGGCTGCTCTGGGATGGCTTGGTGGGGAGCCTGTCTTGGTCCTGGCTTCCGGGTGAGCTTCTCACTGATCGTGCATCTCTGCAGGCATCACGTGTCCGAGCAGGTGGACCCAGCCGCCTTGCACCCTGTCCATCCAGGTCATGGCCACAGCCGCACACCCTCCTCGTTCCCTGGTCGCAGGCAGCTTTGACCAGCCTGGCTCTTTGAAGCTTACCATGTCGGAGTCAGGACTTTCTGAACTTATACATGTCCCCAAGCCCCAGCTGATCCCTGCCAACCTTCCCAGGTTGTTCTCCAGACCCCTTTCTTTGTGACTGGTGAGCCCCCTCTCCCTCAGAGCACCCTATAATTCTTGCTACTAACCTTCTCTCTAATCACTCTCTCCTCTCCTAAATCTCAGTTGAAAAGAGCAGAACCCTTACTCAGCAAAACCTACAAAGCTGGCCCAAGGCCTCTCTTTTAAATGTGAAGACACCTCTCTCTGTGGTGGCCACAGATGTGTCTTCTCACATTTTGAGAGTAACTGATGATGTCACGTCTTCAGATCCATGGTGGTACTCACCCCTGGATCACGCCTCACCCCGGCAGTTCCTCCATGGTGGGAGCACTGGGGTTGGGCCATTTCTACCTCATGCAGGACCCATCTATGGGGCAGCCTTAATTCCGGAACTCCTCTTCATCCTGCCAAGGCTTTCTCAGAACTGCCCGCTGTCTGTAAGTTTGCAACATCTGGTTATTTATATTCAATCTGACAACCTCCATCTTTTTATTTGTAAATATGCTTCATTTAATTACTAAATAACTAGTGTGTAATTATAACCATTATTTTTATAAAGAAAGCTGAGCGCCAAAGAAGTGATGCTTTTGAACTGTGGTGTTGGAGAAGACTCTTCTGAGTCCCTTGGACTGCAAGGAGATCCAACCAGTCCATCCTAAAGGAAATCAGTCCTGATATTCATTGGAAGGACTGATGTTAAAGCTGAAACTCCAATACTTTGGCCACCTGATGCAAATAACCGACTCATTGGAAAAGACCCTGATGCCGGGAAGGATAGAAGGCAGGAGGAGAAGGGGGCGACAGAGGATGAGATGGCTGGATGACATCACTAACTCAATGGACATGAGTTTGAGTAAACTCCAGGAGTTGGTGATGGATAGGGAGGCCTGAAGTGCTGCAGTCCATGGGGTCCCAAAGAGTCAGACATGACTGAGCAACTGAACTGAACTGAACTGAACTTCTGCTATTTAATTGTGAACTTTCTACTGGCCTTTTTTTTTTTTTTTTAGTATCTTTTCTGCTTCCTTTAGAGTGATTAAGGGAAATTTTCCATTGTTTTATATTTCCTGTTATAAGAATTATACATTCTATTTTTTTCTTCCAGTAATTATTCTTGAGCTTGTAATATGAATAGGTAACTGGAAATTCTAAATTTTTATATCTCTGTGCTTCTCTTGAACAATAAAGGGCTTTTGAACTCTTCAATTATCCTCTCTCCATCTTACATGACATCATGCAATATTTTAGTTGAATTTTTTCCTCTGCAAATTATTATTTTACAGTCAGTGTTTGCTTATTCTTCATTCTTGACTCTCATATCTTCTGGGATCAGTTTCCTTTTTTCTGGAATACATCATCAAAAATTCTTTGTGAATGCTTTTTGGTGATAAATACTCTTGCAGTTTGGCTCCCTGAAGAAGAAAAGGTGTAATCACTCATTCGTGTCCAACTCTTTGCAACCCCATGGACGGTAGCCCGCCAGGCTCCTCTGTCAATAGAATTCTCTAGGCAAGAATACTGGAGTGGATTGCCATTCCCTTCTCCAGGGGATCTTCCAGACCCAGGAAACGAACCTGGGTCTCCTGTATTCTTTACCGTCTGAGCCACAGGGAAGCCTAAAGATGTCTTTATTTCATTTCCACCTTCACACAATAGTTAACCCATGTCCACAATTCTAGGTTAACAGTCACTTTCTCTTTGGGTTTCCATTGCTGCTGCTGTGAAGTCAGCTGCCAGTTTTGTTGCTATTCCTTTGGGAGCGACCCATCTCTTCTGTCTGCTTTTACCATCTTCCCATCATCTTTGTTGTTCTTCAGTTTACTTCTTTATGTCAAGGTGTGGATTTCATTTTACTTCTCTTTTCTGTGATTTATTGCACTTCCTGCATCTAAGAATTCTTATCTTTTATCAATTTTAGAAAATTCTCCAACACTATCTTCTAATACTGATTTTCCCCATTCTATCCTTCAGAATTCCAATCACATACATATTATATTTTCTTGTTCTATCCTATGTGTCTGAGTCTGTTTTTCTTATTTAAGACGTCTTACTCTCTTTGGTCCAGTCTCTCTGTCTCTCTTTCGCTACCTCTCTCTCTTTCCCCCTGCCTCCTCTCTCAGCCCTTTTGGAAAAGGACCTCTTATGGAATGCATCTCAGAAATATCATTCTGGGAGACATTAATCTCTTTATTCACTTAGTTCCATTTCCAAATGATCAAAGGTAATCCCGTGAGTTGTAACTTCACCGTTCTTCCAGAGTGCACAGGTATGAGTGATGAGAAGTTCCCACAGGTACCCCACACCATGAAGTCAGATGTTTCTTCAGGGAACCCCAGGGCAGAATCTGGTTCTATAGAAGAGAAACTGGTCTAAGCCTCTTGGACTTGGTTGCTGCAGCAGTGGCTAGAGCCAATGGTGGGACCAAGAGAATTTAAAGAGAATCACATACAGAGCCCAATACAGACACTAACTGCATATCTTACAGCAGCATGAAGTGTTTGAGTCAGAAGTACTTGCTTCTTTCTTTCCTACATCTGGAAAGAGAATAATCACACTGGTCTCTGTGCCTGTCGAGTGGAAAGAGAAATCTCACAGTATGATGGGAAAAGCAGCAAATGTTTCTCAAGTCAGAAGGTGTCCCATTGGCCACATAACCTAAGCAGGACACTGAGTTTCTACAAGCCCCAACGTCTCCATCTTTAGGGGGGATTATAACTAATGCTTTACTGACTTTATAGGACAGGATCAAAGTGGTAACAAATGTAAAAGCATTTTACACGCGGCAAAATGCCCCAACAATATAATGTACGATAATTTATGATAATTGTAAATGATAAGGCTTATTCCCGGTGTCCTGGCCACTCTGTGCACCCAGGCCCCAAGCCAAAACTAACCCAACTGGGCTTTTGATAGGAAAAAAAATCGATGTGAGATAAACGTTTGAGAGAAGGAGGGAAAAGATAAACCAGCTATGATGGCAGGTTTTGAAATGAAGTAGATATGTCACAGTGGTGTGCCTTGTCTCCTAACATGTAACCAGGGGCAGAGATACGGAAAAACTGGAGTCCTTGTGCCCTGTTGGTGGTCATTAAAGTGAGGCAGTGTTAACAGAAAACAGTATGGCAGTTCCTCGGGAAAAAAAGTAGAATTGCAATGTGATTTAGCAATTCTACTTATAGATATATACCCAAAGGATTGAAAGAGACTCAGAGATATTTCTATACCCCTGAACAGTATTCACAGTAGCAAAAAGGTGGAAACAACTCAGGTTTCCCACTGACGGATAAATGCATAAACAAAATGTGGCATGCACGTATCATGGAATATTTTCCAGTTTTAAAGAGAAAGGAAATTCTGATAAATGTAACAACTTGGATACACAGTGCTATATATGAAATAGATGATCAGCAAGGACCCGCTCTACAGCCCAGGAAGCTCTACGCAATATTCTATAATAATCTACATGGGAAAAGAATCTGAAAAAAAGTGGTTATGTGTATATGTATAAATGAGTCACTCTGCTGTTTGCCTGAAACTAACGCATTATTGCGAAGCAGCTTACTGTGATGTAAAATAGAAATTAAATTTTTTAAAAATGCAACAACACGGACGAACCTTGAGGACAGTATGCTAAGTAAAATAAGCCAGACACCAAAGGACAATGATAAGAATCCACTTGTATGAGGTCCCTAGAGCAGTCAGATTCGAAACAGGAAGTGAAATGTTCCCCAGGGGCTGGAGGAAGAGGAGATGAGAAGTTGTTTGATGGGGACAGAGTTTCAGTTGTGCAAGA